CGTTTCTGCCCTTCAGTATCTGTCTATATTTCTGAGATGAGGTATTATGTACACTTATTTACTATTATTCGACTATTGTTCTCATCTTTGTCGCCATTATTATTTACATTATTCAGACTAACGTTTCTTTGCCCTTCAGTATCTGTCTATATTTCTGAGATGAGGTATTATGTACACTATTTACATTATTCAGACTATTGTCCTCATCTTTGTCGCCATATTTATTACAAGGTTTCGGCCTTTCAGTATCTGTCTATATTTCTGAGATGAGGTATTATGTACACTATTTACATTATTCGGACTGTTGTCCTCATCTTTTTCGCCATATTTATTACAAGGTTTCGGCCTTTCAGTATCTGTCTATATTTCTGAGATGAGGTATTATGTACACTATTTACATTATTCGGACTATTGTCCTCATCTTTGTCGCCATATTTATTACAACGTTTCGCCCCTTCAGTATCTGTCAATAGTTCTGAGATGAGGTATTATGTACACTATTTACATTATTCAGACTATTGTCCTCATCTTTGTCGCCATATTTATTACAAGGTTTCGGCCTTTCAGTATCTGTCTATATTTCTGAGATGATGTATTAATCACTATTTACATTATTCGGACTATTGTCCTTTTCAGTATCTTTGTCGCCATATTTATTACAACATTTCGGCCTTTCAGTATCTGTCTATATTTCTGAGATGATGTATTATGTACACTATTTATATTATTCGGACTTTTCGTTATTTATTATCTTTTTCTGTCGCTGTCTATATTTCTGAGTTTATTTATGTACACTATTTACATTATTCGGACTATTGTTTTTGTCGCCATATTTATTACAACATTTCGGCCTTTCAGTATCTGTCTATATTTCTGAGATGAGGTATTATGTACACTATTTACATTATTCGGACTATTGTCCTCATCTTTGTCGCCATATTTATTACAACGTTTCGGCCTTTCAGTATCTGTCTATATTTCTGAGATGATGTCTATATTTCTGAGATGAGTACACTATTTACATTATTCGGACTATTGTCCTCATCTTTGTCGCCATATTTATTACAACATTTCGGCCTTTCAGTATCTGTCTATATTTCTGAGATGATGTATTATGTACACTATTTATATTATTCGGACTATTGTTCTCATCTTTGTCGCCATGTTTATTACAACGTTTCTGCCCTTCAGTATCTGTCTATATTTCTGAGATGAGGTATTATGTACACTATTTACATTATTCAGACTATTGTCCTCATCTTTGTCGCCATACTTATTACAAGGTTTCGGCCTTTCAGTATCTGTCTATATTTCTGAGATGAGGTATTATGTACACTATTTACATTATTCGGACTATTGTCCTCATCTTTGTCGCCATATTTATTACAACATTTCGGCCTTTCAGTATCTGTCTATATTTCTGAGATGATGTATTATGTACACTATTTACATTATTCGGACTATTGTCCTCATCGTTGTCGCCATATTTATTACAATGTTTCGGCCATTGTACGCTCCAGCCTTCTTCAGGTGGTTGGAATGTCGAACTGAACCCTTTATTTCGCTCACTGGGGTAGACTGTTCTAGTTCCACGTTATCTCCTGTTAATGAAGATGCATTTTAACCAAAAAGAACTGTCACAAAAGGCTGAGTGAAAGAATGATATTTAAGCGAGAATTTTACCAGGATTCATTATTGGCAGCCACAATCTTAATAATCTAAGATATGCAGATCACAAAATGTTGATAGCAGACACGGAAAGGAAATTACAAAATCTCCCACAGAAAGAAAAAAAGGCTAAGTAGAAAAAACTAATTACATACTACAAGAAGAGAAGATGCATGGTCCTTAGCAAAAGGGTGAGCCTCAAATACAAATTACAAATCGGGGATACTAAAATCAAATAGGTATAAAACATTTAAGTGTCTCGGAAGTGTTCTAACAGAGAATGGAAAGCGTGACACTACGATCCGAAGACGTACTGAAATGGCCAAACATGTATTCTAAAAGCTAAGCAGCGTATTAAGAGACAGAAAAAAATCTTTAGAAACAAAGAAAGGAATATTTGACTGTTACATGATATCTATCCTCTTATATTGCAGTGAATACTGAACAATCTCATCAAAGATGAAGGAGAGACTTGAATCAACAGAAATGTGGTTCTACAGAAAGATGCTGAGGATACCATGGACCGAACATGTGAGCAACGACGTGGTTTTAGAAAAAATGGAAACAAAAACGAAAGTTATACTTAACACCAGGAATGGGTAGTTAAAATTTCTGAGACACGAAATGAAAAAAGACGGCTTGGAAATTGCGATACACAAAGGACAGACTGAGTTAAAGTTGGGCAGACGAAAGCAGTACGAAACATACTTGATGAGCTTCAGTTAATGGATGGTAGAACAGGTTTTGTTTTTTTTTTTTAAAAAAAGACAGAACTTATTAAGAGCTACAAGAGACAGGAAGATGTAGAGGGCCATGATCGCCTACATCTTGAAGTAACCCGGTAGTAAAAGAAGAATGCATTTTCCTGCAAACATAGATCGCTTTTCAGATAGGAATGTATGAGGACAATTATTTCAGGGAAGAATTCAGAGATCATGTTTTCTTTTGATATGAAAAATTATGATGTTAATATTAAAACAAAGTTGTTTTAGTGAAATACAAACTGTTTTAAAATTTTACTGTTTATGGTTTTAAAAGTTCTGCTTTAGCGTTTTTTTTTTAAAAGATATTTTTAGTAAAACATACGTCTCTGCGTATAGAGTTCATGCACGCAAATTTAATAATAAATTTCACGTACTCTAAGAAAATGAAAAGCGTAACCACACGAAGAACATGAGTCCAGTGTCGCTGTGGGTTTAAATTTGTAAATAAGCATGTTGGTTAATCTCTTTATTTTATTCATAACCAACGCCACCACACAGTTGTAGATATCAAATTTGGGGAAATATTTTAGTAAAAAAAAAAAAGAAAATAAGTTCTATCTTTTTATTTTATTTTGTCTTTACTATTGTAAATTATACTGCCGAAAACACTTGATATTTTATAAAAATGTGACTTCCCATTCAAACTCACTGGTGTGGGAATTTTAAACATTATAGTTAAACTGAAACCAAAGTAGGGGCGAAAAATTTAAGATGTCTGAACTCTACAAAATTGAGAATTCCATCTTATTTCCTTATATTTCATTTCATTTTGTTCAATTAGCTCATATTGCGTCGCTGTGATCACCTCTCTCCTCCATATCACGGTTGTGGTTCATGGTGACATTTAAGACAGAATAGTGCAATGACTTGCTAGTTCCTTTTGCACCTGGGATGTTGAGATTACCCCGTCCATCCTCTTAGTGGATTGTTTTTGATGATACCTTTTTCTAGCCGTTACCTAAATAGAGAGGACTCACAAGGAAACTAGTGGTTTTAATTCAGAGTTTCCTTCGCTTAGACTGGTTGTCATCCAAGCCTACAGGACCTAATCAGTCCAGCTATTTTACGTATAGGTGGGTTCTATATTAATCAGCATTCATTTATATCAATTCAAGAAAATAAAACATTTAAGTTCATAAATAAAAAGAAACATTTTAAATAACTGGTTGTTTTCATGTTTAAAATGTCTGCCAAATTATGGCGCCAACTTGCAATAAGCAGTTTTTTTTTATGATCAACCAATATGCAAAGCCGTTTCCTGTATAATCTTCTAGGTTTTACCTATAGAGGCAGCAGGTAGTTTGAATTCAGTTTCCTTCTTCTAGATTGGTTGCCACCCAATGTTATAGGACACAACCCGTCCTTCCTAACAAAACAGCTAATACACTCAATGCAGAACTCATAAGCAACAGCAATAAAAAATATGTATTATACGATTCCCGTCAGGAAAGACCTGATCTAAATCGAATTTAATGTCCATCAGAAATCTTGATCCAAGAAGATCTGATTTGTAGTGTACCAGTATATTGGGTTCCCTCTAAGAGATACCTTAGTACAATTTCGTAATTGCTGTTACTTCAGAGAGTCAAAAGTATTAGGATTCCCGAGGGTTTACTAAGAACGTAACGTTAAAGCCACCAAGTGCAGCACCGGGTCTTCAATGATGTCGATAGGTGCATCAACATAAAGAAATAAATCACCCCACACCAGCTGAACTTAGCATATACCTTCTCAAAAACAACCGGATAGGAGGTGATTATATCACAGCTCGACCTACCAGGGCAGAAACAGAATCCATCACAAGTTGATCAAACGTTCGAAGAAAGACCTGGTGTCACATACCCTCGATTCAGCCGACGTTAATCTGGTGGTGTCTAGAATTGAATAAGCAATTATTTCACGTATGAATAAATTAGTCTCATATATTATCGAATGTTACTATCATTTAGAATACAGATGGGATTTGTTCAAAAGCGAATCGACACTTATAAAATGTCTCGAAGCATTTTCTGCATGATTGTGAATCGTTTTTCTTTTGTAATGGAGTGACAAAATATGCGGACTAATAGAAAACACAAGATTCGAATGCTTCGTACTTAACTTCACGCTTTATTGCCCTACTAGACTACACGTAAACAGTTGGGTCACTGACGGTTAGGGTTATATAACACTAAGGTTAACATTAAAATAATTGTCTGTTTGAAGAAAGTTGAAATAAAAACACTTACTCGTATTTTTAAATCTTATTAACTTAAAGTGTTTTTAAATCAGATTAACTTGAAAATATATTTAATGCACCAAAAATATTTAAAAATCATATTCACTTCAAAATTTTATTTTAAATATGGCAAAAATATTTAAAACAGTGTTTGTTTAAAGAAAGATGAAATATAAATAGTTACTCTACAAAAAACTGGATGAAACTGCAAAGCGGAATCTCTTTGTGTCTGTCTTTAACATTAAAATATTTTGATTGAAAAAATTTTGTTTGAAGAAAGTTAAAATAAAAATACTGTATAAACAACTTGTGTTTTTAAACCATATTCGTTTAAATCAGATTAGCTTAAATCAAGCACGCAAGAAGGCAGTCACAGAGAGGCGAAAAAAGAAAGAGGTGGAATGAGAGAGAGGTAGGAAGAGAGAGAGAGAGGTAGAGAGAGAGAGAGAGGTAGAAAGAGAGAGGTGGAATGAAACTTAAATTATTATTCGCCGAAAGGACGACTTACCACGCAAGAACGCAATCACAGAAAGGTAAAAAAAGACTTGGGAAAAGAGAGAGAGAGAAAGAGATAGAGAGAGGTAGTTAGAAAGAGAGAGAGAGGTGGAAAGAGAGAGAGAGTGGTGGAAAGAGAGGGGTGGAATGAAACAAATTATTATGCGCCGAACGGACGACTTACCACGCAAGCACGTAAGCACGAAATCACAGAGAGGTGAAAAAAGAAAGATGTGGAAAGAAAGAAAGGTAGAAAGAGGGAGAGAGGTGGAAAGAGAGAGAGAGAGAGAGAGAGAGAGAGAGAGAGAGGAATGAAACTTATGCGCCGAACGTACGACTTACCACGCAAGCACTCAATCACAAACTTTTAGTATTATATAGATAAAACTTCGTCAATCGTGGTGTGCCCACAGCCGGAGCTTCTTAAATGATACCTGGACCTTACAAAATCCTCTTATTCCCGAAAGACTACCTCACTCTTCTCGAGTGTGCTTTTTTCTTTTCTTTTTTTTTTTTTTAATTGGCAAGATTTTTTCTGACGAGTGCATATATTAGGCGCGCCCACAGGTGTTCACCTCTCGGGGTCAACACTGATAACGTGTGGATTGTTGATCACCGCACCCGGCTAGGATCAATTCAGGTTAACCTTGCATCTTTGTCAGGGGAAGTTGGATATAAATACCCTATTCCGGCATAATATATATATATATATATATATATATATATATATATATATATATAATACCTTTAAATTACTTGAACTTAGTGTCGCAATATATCGTTGCGAATTCTATAAAAAGCTTGTTTTTTTTCTGGGTTTTTTTAAGTGAATAGGTTGTTAGCACAACCCCCAACGTGGAGGATCAGGTTTTGAATTCAGATTTGTCACTCTCCTAGACCAGTTGCCACCCAAGGCTATTGAACCCAGTCTGTCTTGCTATTTACTCATACCAGGAGGGGGAGAGAACAAGAGGATTCATACCTTTCCCAAAGGTTTAAACAACGGATTATGTAACGGATTCAACTGGAATTACAACTCGGCTCTCCTATTCCTCAATCCATTACTCCATAATACACTTAATTTAAGAAATTATTTTTAAAAATAAAAGCCTTATTAAAATTAACGACCAGTACTTAAAACAATAGTACTAAAGTGAACTGTTTTAAGAACAACAAAAAAAATTCATGTTAATACTTTATGACGACACCTTTCGTTTTCAAACCCTGAGTGACATTACCTGTCACTTATTTGCCAATTGAGACGTCGGAGATGGAATGGTTTTCTCCTAAGCGTCCTCTTTTTGTTCCTCAAGAGTGGAATATTGGGTGTTCCTAGTCTTTCCGCAAACATTGGGATTATGGTCTGGAGACAAGACAGACCACTTCATTATATATGAAAAGTGATCATTGAATTATGAGACAGTATCGTTTTGGTGAAAGAACAACTTTTTATTTATTTATTTATCAAGCGGTGTTCTTGGATTTATGTTCCCCGTTTTCTATCGTCCGTTAAACAATTTCTGAGGTAAGTACTTTTCTGTATTTACTTGATTTTGATCTCTCTAATTCGAAGCTCGCATCTTTGGCTGTCGTTATTATTAACCACCATATCTTCTGTCTTTATACAATTGATGATGAGTTCTTTCTTCCCACTTTCCTCTACTAAAATGTCTAGTAGATCCAGCAGTTTTTATTGTGTACCTGCCATCGAGAGAGTGTCCAAAGCGTATCATATATTTTTAAAATTGTGTCCATCAATAATAAATCCTGGTAGGACTTTTAGTACTTTTATGATCATCATGCTGGAAAGGTTAAATAAACCCGATGAAAAGATGTACCCTTGTCTTAAGACAAATCATTCTACCACTATATGATATTGTGCTATAGTAAATTAGTCTTGTAATGTTTACTATGTACGTTGTAATAATTTCAGAGCAGGTAAGTATTGACCTAAGACAGAAAATATGTTAACCGGTTGATTGAAATGCATTAAAGAATGTAAAAAAAACTCAGATTTTTAATTTACACATTATCTTGTCAAGATACATGTGCTGAAAAGTTCTGGGTTCAATCAAAAAACTATAACGAAAGAAAAAAAACGGGTTATCGTCTTTTCGTCAGTTCTACTCGTAAAATTGAAATAATTCTTTAAAAATAACTGTCACACTATATAAGGCTCAAGAGCCACTTAAGGTAGAGAGTAAGTAAATGAATTGCGTGATATGAATGTTAGAATAGAAAGTATGAAGGGAGGATTATATGAAGATGGAGGATAAAAAACCTTTGATCTTTGGCTTGAAGAGATTAATATTGTTAGGACATAAATATAGAGTAAATAGTATTTTACCATGGACTCTCTAGTCTTGAGTGGCAGCCAGTCTAGGAGAAGAAAATATAATTCTAAATTTGAGGAAATCATTGTATTCTTTTTCTTATCTTTCCCAAGAATTCACAACACCTCAGGGATGATATCAGAAAAGCAATCTGATTAGAGGAATGACCGGTGATGTCCTGAATGAACAGGGCGTTTAGTTGAAAAGAAGCGGGTTAATTAGTAAAGCAGACTGGGAGACAGCCGTTCTAACGACACTTTCGAATTCGAAAGCCACGGAGAAGGTAACAGGAAACCACTTCACTATCTATCCCGAGAAATGGATGCCAATGTCATAAAGTGATGTGAAATTAATTAAAGAATAAGTCCGTCTCAATGGTAAAGTATGAGACGTTAAATGAGGAATTAGCCGTTATTCTGTAGCAACAAAGAGAGAATTAATAACCTTGATTAAAGGATATCTAGTTTCTTAGCTGAAATCCGCAGCGGAAATTTGGATAGTGAAAGTTGCCTTTTAAAAGCTAAGCAAAGTATTAAGAAACAGGAAAATTTTGCTAGAAACAAATAAAACAGTAGTGAAATGTTTTGTAATATCGGCACTCCTATATGACAGAGACTGTTGGACAATCTCCTAACAGATAAAGAAGAGACTTGGGGTAACAGAAATGTGGTTCTATGCTGAGGGTAAAATGGACAAAACATGTGAGCAAGGAAAAAGTCTTAAGGAAAATTGAAACCAAATAAGGACACTTTACTCAGAATCAGAAAGTGACAGCTGAAATTTCTGAATAAAAAAGACAAACCATATTAAAAGTCATAAAGGATAGGAAGTTTTGGAGAGCTATGATTGGCAACAGCACATATAAGAAGAATAAGTATCAGATGGATGATATATTCGATTTGGGAAATTGTGGACCGACCATGTGAGTAACAACGAAGTTCTAGAGAAAATGGAAACAAAAAGAAAAATTATACTTAACATCAGGAAGAAACAGCTGAAATATCCGGGGCATATAATAAGGAAAGAAGGCTTGGAAATTTTAATACTCACAGGGCAGGTTGAAAGCAAGTGGGACAAGAGGGGAAAACGGGTAATCTACCGAGCGAGCTTGAGTAAATGAATTGAAGAACAAGTTTTAGGAGAGATAAAAATTATTAAGAGATACAAAAGAAAGGAAATTGTGGAGAGCCTTGATCGACTACGCCCTGAAGGAACGTGGCCCATAGTAGAACTTGACTTCAGACCTCTTTTTTTTTCTTTAAATCGAGTTCGCCATAAGTAAGGCAGTAAAGCCACTAAGACACAAGGGGATTACCGGGTATGGAAGAATTAGAAAGCGAAATATTAATAATGAGTGTGAAGAAAAGAAGAGTAATCAGTAGGGGAGTAGATAGCGATTGACATTGCGTTTTAATTTTTGAAGATTAAATTTGGCTGGAAAACTGGAGCTGGAAAGGAGTTCCACAAGTGAGAAGTGCGAGAAAATAAACTTTTGGCATAGAACCTACAGATATATCAAGCCAGCTCAAGTGTAAATTGACGAGGTCTCGTTAGCAGTCTACTACTGTGGTTAAATTCATAGAATCCTGGTACCACAGCGGAGAGCTTGAGGTTTTGTCAAATATTCCCCGCAGACAAAGGGGAGACAACTGTGTTTGTTTATCTGTTTGCCTGTGCTCACATCTGTGTGAAGTTGAAAAGAGACAGAAGCCTGGCTGGATGAAATGTATCCGTCTTTTTTCTTTCTATTGGGGCGTAGCCTCGGTAGGAATATATGCAATTTGCAAAGCAGTAATGTCACTGTGTGCAGTTTGAGAAAAAATGCACAGTAGACATGTGCATTGGGCCTTCTGCTTAAAGCAAAGCAAAAAAAACGAAGCAAATACAACACTCGACATTCGCAGGTTTGGCCCAGTCGTTAAAAGCAGATCATGAAAGTCAGCGACGTTAGCCAAAGGTTTCAGCGTAGAAGCAAATTCTTCATATTTATCTAACCCGAATGATCAGTCGAGCATTACCAATTATTCTGATTTTATGCATGAGCGTCTTTTTTGTGTCTATTTGCTCTAAAACATTGTTGTTGCTCACATGTTCAGACCATCGCATTCTTAGTATCTTTCTGTAGGACCTCATATATGTTGCTTCAAGTTTTCTCTTCATATTGAAGTAGTTGTTCACCAATTGTCATATAGGATTGAGATTATATAACAACTTAGTACTTTTTTCTTTAATTCGGTATAATTTTCCATATGTTTAAATTTGTAATTCTTTGAGTTCAATACCCCCAATTAGTAACTCGTGTACGAGGTTGTACCTATTGCTGTCAACAATATATTTCGTCTTCTTGCAAATAATGTTTAGTCCATTATTTACATTATTCGGACTATTGTCCTCATCTTTGTCACCATATTTATTACAACGTTTCGGCCTTTCAGTATCTGTCTATATTTCTGAGATGACGTATTATGTACACTATTTACATTATTCGGACTGTTGTCCTCATCTTTTTCGCCATATTTATTACAAGGTTTCGGCCTTTCAGTAGTTGTCTATATTTCTGAGATGAGGTATTATGTACACTATTTACATTATTCGGACTGTTGTCCTCATCTTTTTCGCCATATTTATTACAAGGTTTCGGCCTTTCAGTAGTTGTCTATATTTCTGAGATGAGGTATTATGTACACTATTTACATTATTCGGACTGTTGTCCTCATCTTTTTCGCCATATTTATTACAAGGTTTCGGCCTTTCAGTAGTTGTCTATATTTCTGAGATGAGGTATTATGTACACTATTTACATTATTCAGACTATTGTCCTCATCTTTTTCGCCATATTTATTACAACGTTTCGGCCTTTCAGTATCTGTCTATATTTCTGAGATGAGGTATTATGTACACTATTTACATTATTCGGACTATTGTCCTCATCTTTTTCGCCATATTTATTACAACGTTTCGGCCCTTCAGTATCTTTCTATATT